TCATCAGCATTTTGCACCACTCCATCATCACATCAAGGTAAATGATAGGGTCGTACCCAACACAGAGTCCATTGGTTTCATTGATTATGCGTGTTATGGGGTTTTCATGAAACAGTCTCCGGGTTTCAATATTGTACTTGGGTGAGTTAAGGGAATGTACATGCGGATATGGAGATCCAGACTGGATTGTTCAGGTGCGTTGGCCCATAAATATGTTTGAAGTTGGGAATTGAAGGTATATTGTTGGGCAGAAAATGATGGTTTTGTGGTCAGAGTGGAGGATCCATTGCAGCTGGGAAAAGTTCCAACCCCCAAGTCCATGCTTCAACTCATGTATTAACAGTTGAACATCTAGGCGTAGGTTGGACCTTTAAATGAGGTGGTATTCTCCTGCTTTCAGTCCAAGGAAGTTACATATCTGGTCCATTGTCATCTATTGTCAGGCCTGAAACTAGTGTGGCAGTAACGGCAATCTGCACAACTTGGGGGGGCATTTGGGCAGCAATGTACCATATCTGTAGGAAGGTATTTTGGAAGCTATTGCCCCAAGTATCCAGTAAGTGGATCTCATCTATTCCTAATGCAGTTAGTTGTGGCCACAATCCTTTGTCATGCAGGAGCTCCTCAAAAAACTGTGACGACAGCTGTTTGAGTGACAGAAGGATTATTGAGGCTTGGTGGTGAGTTATATGCCATAAATTTTCTTGCTTTTTTGTTCAAGCTTCATGAAGGGTGTGGCTTAGTCTCTGTTGCTGACCTTATACAATACATGTGACTGTCAATATATGATACTAGTAGTCGGTATATGAAGACAACAATATTGGTAATAAAGTCTGCTCCAAATCTAAGGCCCTTTGTGGGAACCCCCCACTCAATGCCTTTCAGCCACAGAGTAGAGAGCTATTACAGCTCCGCAACAGCTTAGAAGCAGTTCCAACCAACCCCGCTTAGACATCACCCCACAATAAAATCAATCACTTCCCAATGTCCTGTGCAAAGCCTTGTGTACAGATAATCAGTAGCTTAATAGTATTGATCAATTGATGTACAGTAGTTACAAAAATCAAAGCCGTTTCCCATTAATCATGTCCCAAACACCCCAGCAAACACCTCGCTGAACAGCACAAACATCAAGCCAAAAGCTTGAGGGTGTGTTTGCAAGTATCTATGATGCTCGGTGATCTCTGGCCAACTTTTTGCATCATCTGTTTAAAACAAAGAATGAGAAAGGAGAGAAACTTGAAGGATCCAAGAGATACTCACACATGGTAGTGTCTCTGATCAATGGGTCATGCACAGGCTCACCCACATTGGTGGTGGTTCTTGAGCTGATATACCAACAAGCAAAGAGAATCTCCCTTTGGATGGATGACCCCCTGGTAAATCAAATCTACATACCAGGGAGTGTTAGCTTCAATCAAATTCAGCATGCAAGCCTTGCACTCACTGCCTGGACCCTTGAACTTGTTGTTCACCAGATCCATGCTGAGTTAAACAGGATGATCTCTGCAAAGGCAAGTCTACAAGTGTGGGCAGGCACTACCCATGAGGGACGTTGGACACAAGGTACCCAGGCCACATGGGATATTGAAAACAACTTCAGTTTTGCCAAGCTTGAAACCACCATACGGAAGCACGCACCTGTATTCTGGCACTTGATTTGCTCCTACTGCAACTCCGAACTTGTTTATGGAGACAACTATGTCCTGCGTACAAACCGGCCTTAAAATCTGGTAGGTGGACTTATCATATGGCTGGTCCATTTTGAATCAGCTCTACAGGGTGCCATTGATAGTATAATATCACTTACCTTTATACGTTCAAAAAGCGCCAGCTATGGTGCATTGTGTCGGACCTTGTACCTGTTTGCAGCTAAAGCCCATTGCTCAATTATTTGGGTTGAGAGCCAACTTGGACACTGCACTGTGTACAACACAGCATTTTGAGCCCTTGGGTCCATGGCCTTCCTATGAGAAGCTACAAAGCCCGGCTCAGGAAATTTTTTTAGTATAGTAGGGGACAACATACAGGTATTTGCACAAAGGAGAGACCATTGAATCGGCAGGAAAAGTTGAATGATCAAGGGCTTTGCTGGTACAGTAGTTTAGCTGGAAGACATTGAGCTGGAAGATGTTGACCCAGAAGCCTTTGATTTGGATGAGTTAATTAGGAGACAACAGCTGCTTGGCCGCAAGAAACTTATAGTCAAGGGATCACTTAAAGACATAGATACCAATCATCTGCAGAGAGTGATGGGCATTCACTTCCTGCAGGCCCTCATAAATTTTGTACCCACTATGTCAGTCTATCACTCGGAAATGAAGGAGGCCTATAAAACAATCTCACTAAAAAGGACATTGTCTGGCACTGGGGTTCCAAAGAACAAGAAGCTTTTAATAAGCTTAAACAGGCATTCACAACAGCGCCCATATTAGCATTTCCAGAATTAGACAAAGAGTTTCAGCTAGAAACCGACTCTTCTGATTTTGCTACTGGGGCTGTTCTATCACAAGGTTTGAACACAGCCACATACCACACATTTATTCACTACACCATAAAGGCTTACAAAATATACTATACATGTGTAATATATTAACCTTTTATGGACTTGTCATTTTTTGTACACATTGAATTGTCACAACTTATACTTGGATAAAGCATTACTATAAATATGTACTATAGTCTTAACAGCTATATAGGCTATTAGAGCTATAAGAGCCATTATAATGCCTTGGCCAGCTATATAACATTATACATGTGTGCTCAAACTTATAGTACTATAAGAGCTATAGTAGCATTTATAGTAATGCCTCTGCTATATAGCATAAATAGTATTGCCTCTGCTATATAGCCAAAGTGTTTTTCCTGATGCACCTGGGTGGCAAGTCAAAATATGACCTATGAAAAAATGCTAGTGGCATAGAGAACTTGAATGCGACACACCTGTGGGATGGCCTCCCGCCCTTGCAGTCTCCATCAGCAAATTAGAACCCTGCTCTTCCTGCTTCCATAAATGTGCCCATTGATATCTCCCTTTCCCTGCCTCATGCTTCCACATCCTTGCTGCCATCGCCTCTCATTGCTGCTCCTTCACAATGATCCATATCCAGCTTCTCACTGCCTCAGGTAGATATGGGATCACCACCTTCCCAGCACGTTGTGCCAAGGAGGACTAGTAGTCAACGCCATTTGGATGAGAGGTGTCCAAGTGTCACAGCACCAGCAGCATCAACAGTGTCAGCGCCATCAGCAACATGCCATAGCCTACAAAAAAAGCAACACCACCTTCTGTTACAATTGACATACCAGCACCTACTTACGCTTCACTTTTGTACTTTTCCTTTTCATTTTTCCAAGTCACATGACCAGTCATGTGACCATTTACTTTACTTTATATTTTCGGCTTTTCATAGTCACATGACCAGTCATGTGACACATCACCTGACCAGTGTCTAGGCTCACTATGTGACAGGTCACATGCTAGACATCGGACTTTAAACTTTATTTACAACTGTACAGTACCTCATGTATTTTAGTATATATACAGGAGCAATACATGGGGAAGGACTCAGCTAGTCCTCCTGTTGTCTAGCCCAACAAACTCACTGCAGCCTAAGGGGTAACCACTCCCTCTTCACTACCTTTATAGTGTGTTCCTGTGTGCGCCAGAGTAACTAACTCTTGGTTGTTACACCTTCGCACAAATGGTGGGGGATCTAATGAACCTGCCAAGTCCAAACAGCTGTGTCCGAGGGGGTGTGTCTCATTTGCATTGTTGAGGAGAGATTGTGGTGGTGTTTGGAGAAGATGAGCCAATCCTTGGCTCAACTCTGGCAAAAATGTCAATGCCATCATTGCAACTTTGGTGTCTACGCACTGGGACTCAGACATCCATAACCCCAGTGTTTGGATTGATAGTGTAAAGTTGGCAATAGAGGGGAGTGGGTATCTGGATGAGAGCTTGGGTTCCATAGTGCAGAGGTGTAGGGGTATTAATGGGAAGGACATTTGCGTCAACTTCCTGTTGATGATAAACTACATGCAGCTGGTGACAAAATGTCAGAGGTGAGTCATTTTGATATCCATTAGCATCCGATGAATTTGATCTAGTATGCTACACTTTCTCTAGCATTAAACTCTGTACCCAACAGTCTCTCAACGGTACTTACAATACAGAAGTTGCCCATCTCCCCATAAAGCCCAGCAAACAAACTTTTCAAGACTGGCATTCAATTGGCAGTAAATTTGCTGCAATCGCCGGAGGCGGGTCAGTCTATATACTGATTCTGCAACTCAGGGTAGTAGGAGAGGAGGGTCTTTAAGACTTCTTTCTCATAGATAATATTAGCCAAATTTGCAAAAGATGCTTTTTTGGAACAGATCTTGTGCCCAATTTCTTCAATAGTTCTTTCCACAGTAGCTTGAGAGTCAAGTCAAAGTGATCCATACCACTCAATGTGAACAGGAACATGGATCAACTGGAATATACACAATTAGAATCTTGAAATCTTCTCAGGATGTATTCCAACATAAATTCTTTCAAAATCAGCCAAGAATACTTTAATGAGCTGATGGAGATCAGTCAAGCCTTTGGTGCTCCTTGCTTTGATAGTCATGGAAAATTCAATTATAGCCATAAGATGGGAGAAGTTCTGAAGCACTGAGGAATTCATCCCTAGCTTAATGCCAATTGGTATTTTGTACCAGTATAACAGTGCCATCCACTCATAGACTTTATATTGACTTTGTCTTTTCAAGTGGGGATCTCAAACTGGGCCACAGAATGAGGGTGGCAGTGTTGACATTCCTGAATCAACTAGTTTACCAAACATTTCAGCCTTCTGTATGTTGAGGTGGATGAGTTCAGATTGTGAACTGTGGATTGTCCACAAATCCCATCTAAATGCAACAATATTTTCAAAAAACAGATGGAAAGGATCAATTGGGAAACATGAAGGGTGAATAAATGCTGTTGTTGCTGCTGCTAGAGGCATGCAAGAAATCCCTGTCACCCTTGTAATTTTAGCATGAAGATTTTTAACTGTGGTAGCATCAAGTTTGTTGATTGTGTTACAATAACACAATTTTCGGACCTTTCCTTCATTTTCATTCTCCGCTTTAACCTTGTACACTTTAGCTTTCACACATGGTGCCACGCGGCACTTCCCCTTTTGTTCAAACTCCTCTTTCTCGCGCCGCATTGCCTTCTTCTTATTTTAGATACAACTCTCTCACATAGTGGAGCTGGTCATGTGGGCTAGCCCCCATGACGTCATCAAGCCACTAACTTTATCAACTGTATAGTACATAAGTACAAACACTCTGTATTAGTATATATACCCCAATAGATCCAGGAGACTCCTTAGTGAGTCCTCCTGTTGTATACCAACAAACTCTCTGCAGCTTAAGGGGTAACCACTCCCTCTTCACTACCTTTATAGTGTGTTCCTGTGTGCGCCAGAGTAACTAACTCTTGGTTGTTACAGATTGTAGCCCAATAATGAACTTCTGTGTGTATTGGCAGATTATCCAGGTTATATATGGGATGATCACTGTTGTATTTATTGTTTTCTGGTGGTGACAATAGGTAGTACTGAGCCTTGGCACCTTTTTCAAGACTGGATCTTGCCCTTTTGACCAAAACAAATCTATCACCATAATTTGCAGTATGTCCTGCCATCCCATTTAACTTTGCTGAGCCTAGCACATCTCCCAGAATCATAGTCATGTACATGTGATTTATGAAATAGGAGGAATCTATAGCATCCCACGTCCATATACCTTGACTACACTGTGCTGCATCCTAGAAAAGGGGATATATAAATGACTCAATACTTCCTAGACTGTGGGGTCCTGGAATGGTCATGGTTAATATGATATTGTTGGAATGGTACCTCATTTCTGGAGGTATGTTGAGCAATATCAGAATCAATATCCAAGTATCAGACTGCTTCTTCATTGTAAGCTGGGCCCCATCTGTGGATAATGCAAAGGCAATGTCACAATCATCCTGAAATAATCCCATGTCCTTATAATGGTGTTCATGAACACTCCCACTGGGGAAATCACAATATCTTGCCTGAGCCTGAGTCCCAGAACTTTGTGAGTCAACTGCAAGTAACTTCAATGTTTCTTGTAAACATCTATCCCTGTAATGCAGGAGTTGGGATGTTTGCTTATTTGCAAACATTGCTTGGATAATTGGAATAAAAGATACATATAGCATTTGTGCTCTGGGCTTATTTTTAGATCCAGCAACATAGTGCCTCTCCCCATATGTGATTTGACCCTTTATGGTGTGAGAATAAGCTTCCAAGTCCTTAAAGTCACCTGTATATGCAATACAACTCTTTGGGCACATATCAATCTTTACAGGCTCAATCTTGGCCAGTGAACTAACCAGCTTGCAAACAGCATATAGTGACAATATGTCTAACTGAGTAGCTTGCTGTGATACTTGTGCATGCAGCTCATATGCCTTAACAGTGCCATTTGACTTTTTCCATGCAATGTAGTGTTTAAGGCTGTGAATCTCTGACTCTGTCAGATCAGCCCTCCTCTATCAGATTCACAAGACTATTTAGAATCTTCAGAAAATGATAGTGAAGATGAACGGGTTTCACATCTAACTGTTCAGCAAAAAGGCGTGGAAAAGGAGAAGATAGTCATACACACAGCCTATGCCCAATTACTGCCTCAAAATAAGCATTTCCAAGCAGAGCATGATTGTCAAGTCAACAATGTCTTGACAGAGTGTGAACAAGAGCGTGCTGAGAAGGGCAACAGAGTTAATGACATAGATTATTTGCAATCACAGGTATATAATTCATCTTCATTATGCTATAATACATATAATAGCTCATTTGTTGTCAGCTCCGCAGGCACTACAAAGAAGGAATGAAGATATCTAATGACACCTACATTTGTATTTCCATGGATGCTATTCCCAGGTACATCTTTCACAAATTTCCAATGGCTGATTTCTCACTTGTCTGAAGCTCCCCAGTGGATATCTGTAACTCTGATGAGACACTAATGGCATTCATCTGCACAAGTCTTCCAGCAAAAATACAAAATTCTCTTACAGACAACCTACTAGCAGTGTTTGGGACCCCAGATCTATTGACAGAGAAGAACACCCATGTTGATGCTGACTCTACCTTTCAAGCACTTCACTTGTCATGGTACAACTGCCACTGTACCAAGGTGGAGTTGTTTATTTATAATACCTTCCCTATTGCTGACGCTCCACAGGGTCATGAAGCTTTGTCTGATATCCCTCCTTCTATGCTTGACAGAGTTGGCTGTGTACGTATTCTGACCAGAATGCCTGCCCTAAACTCTGTGAGTAAATTTTCACTCCTCTGTTATACTTGATTCTCTGTTTACTTTCTCATAGACTGGTCAACTTCGATGGCAGGCAAAAAAAATATGAAGGGTAAATCTAAAGCTAATGCCTCCAAGGGGCAAAATGATGCAGTTACTTTAAGTGCTGAGGAGTACCAGCACCTCATGATTATGAATGCCAGGGTACAATCTACCCAGGCAGCTCAGAAAGAGGCAATGGAAGCCAAACACATAGGTGAGACATATATTCTGGATTTATAAAGAATACACTCATCTCCCTCCGCAACGAGAAAGAGAGCAGCTAGTATAATGGAAGAAGAAGAACAGGATCTTAATGACGTTGACCCAGTTACACCACCAAACCCTCCTAGAAAAAGACAAGCCAATGACAATGATTCTGATGAGGAAGATTCTTAAGGGGTCCTACCTCAAAAGCCACGCATAGGTGAGGATGAAAGCAGCAATGATTGTAAGGACCATTTATTATTTTCTTATCTTCTCTATGTCTTGGTTCTCGAATGCTTTTCCCATTACACCTCTGACTCTAGGGCTGGAGGTATTGTTTGCTATTTTACTTCTCATAGCCCTCACAGGCTTTCTCAACCATTGCTACCACTTTATATCACAGATCAGAGACTGGGTACCACTCCCAGCCAGCCAGCACAATGGGTAGGGGCTGCTAGTAGGCATCTCGCCAACCAGCTCCAAGCCCCATCAGTGCCTGGATATACTAATAGATGCTTTAGTCAGGATCGTACCTCATCATGAAGATACGGTTCCTGAACATGCGTGACAACACTTACTATTAGTACAATTTCTCACCTGCTGATTAATCTTCAAAGTTGTACGATAGTTATCCTTTTTCTTATTGGTTAATTTTCCCCTCGGACCACTTTCCTTTTATTCCTCTTTTGGTCTGAGGGATAGACAGTTAGCTATATAAAGCCTTACCTACTTATGTGTAGTTCTTTAGCTTTCTATTACTTGAATTATCTGCTTTACCCCTTATCAGAAACCCCTGAGTCAACTCCCATATCCTCTACTTGCTATATTCACTAGCATCTGTCGATCTTCAAGACTCACTGTACCTCTTACTCCCTGCAAGTGCAGTCGGAGACGGGTATTGCTTTTGTTATAGTTTATCGTTGCCTCACGATGATTATGATGAGGATGAGGGTGCTAGACCAGATGGTAAGATATAATCATTCCTAGAGGAAAATACTTACGTGCTGCTAAGACATTGATTGACTTATTCTGGATGATCAAGTATGTTTCTGAATACTTCTAACATTCATAAAGCTAACAGCCTATATAGCAGCCCAAGTCCAGGCCTGTTGTTATACAGGAGAGGACTAGTTTGTCCAGAAAGTCTTCTACGTCTACCTCTATTTCTACACATGCAGCTCTCTCTTTACTGCCAAAGATGGGAAAAATGCGTAGGATTACCCTTGGTATATTTCCCAGATATCTCCTGGATCTTGCTGGTTGTTTGTACAACAAAATCCGAGCCTTCTTTTACGACCAACAGGTTGCTGAGATGAAGGCTCAGGGAAAAGAGTTCAGAGCTTAGGTCACTTGGGTGCCTTTACTCCTCGAAACAATGAAGTAAACCACAACAAGGTGGCCCCTGCTCCGGGGTGGTGCACAAGCAATAAAGGAAAGGGGGTGGCTCCCAAATTTGTAAATAAATTTGTAAATTTATTATAAAAAGTATGTACTTGTATGAAGCATTGTGACTGTAATATTTATGATACTACCGCTGCACCAGTGTCTCCCTTGTAGTGTGGCCCCGGCAAGACAAACACTAGGGTGCTTGATTCTGGTAAAAATAGGGGTACAAATATAGAAAATCCTAAAGTAGAAAAACATGTTTCTCTCAATATCTCTTCTTCTTCTCCGGAGCCACTTTCCACAGAAATCCCAAGACATGTGTTGATGCGCACATTTTTATTCCAAAAGGAGATCTGTTTAGACATTGGTGTGGAAAACCTTGCCCGGGGCATAGTACACCCAACCAGTGCACTGCTTGATTCAGGCGCTAATGGCATCTTCATAGATCAGGTCTGAGCGGAGTAAATTGGACTCCCCCTTGTAAAATCAGATGTATCTATTCCCGTCTATAACATTGACAGTACGTTTAACGCAGGTGGCTGCATTACGCACAAATGTGCTTTTGTTGTTGAGTATCAAGGACACAGGGAGCAAAACACTGCCAAAGCTACCCAACTAGGGAAGATTAATTTGATCTTAGGCTGGACCTGGCTATTTAAACACAATCCTGAGATTGACTGGCAGACAGGGGTTGTCACATTGTCATGTTGCCCTCAGGAGTGTGATGACTTGGGTAAGCCGAGTCACGTCCATCAAACTGAGCTTGATGAAAGGATAAACACTGGTCAGATTTATGCCAAGCTTAGATCTTTAGATAAAATTGACAATGACAATGATGAGGTAAAACCCAAGGAAGAGATTAAGAGGCTGATACCTCCCGAGTACCATGACTTCTGGAAAGTTTTTTCTAAACATAAATCAGAGCGCTTCCCAGAGGCTAAGCCTTGGGACCATGCTATAGATCTAAAGGACACGTTCAAACCTAGAAAGGGACACATGATTCCCCTCTCTGCTCCAGAAAGAGATGAGGTTTCTAGCTTCATAGACGAACAGCTTAGAAAGGGTTACATCAGACCTTCCAAAAGCCCTATGACATCCCCAGTGTTCTTCATTCCTAAAAAAGATGGTAAGAAGCGTATGATTATGGATTATCGTTACGTGAACAAGCACACAGTTAAAAACACGTATCCGCTGCCTTTGATTAGCCAGCTAGTAGACAAGTTGGCTGGCGCCAAGATCTTAACAAAGATGGATCTTAGATGGGGGTACAATGATGTACACATCAAAGAAGAAGATGCTTGGAAGGCCACGTTCACGTGCCGCCAAGGATCCTTCGAGCCCCTCGTTATGTTTTTTGGGTTGACCAATTTACTGGCAACCTTCCAGAGCATGATGAATAAGATCTTTGCGGATATGGAAAACTGTGTCGTCATTTACATTGATAATTTATTAATATTTACAAAGCTGGGCATGACAGGATTGTGCAAGAAGTCTTTTGACACTTACAGGAACAGGACCTATTTGTCAAACCCAAAAAATGTAATTTTAAAGTGAAGGAAGTAGACTTCCTTGGTATGATAATTGGCCAGAACAGAATCAGGATGGATCCTGAGAAAGTTCAAGCTATACTGGATAGGCCTGACCCTACTCACATCAAAAGAATTAGGGCCTTCCTTGGCTTAGGCAATTTCTACTGAAGGTTTATTGAAAACTTCGCAAAGATAACAAGACCGTTGAAAAATCTCACAAAAAAGGACATTGTCTGGCACTGGGTGTTAGTTTTGGTGATTCTGCACCTAGTTGTGCTATCTATTTTCTCTTCTTTCTAAATCACTTTCCTCTTTATTCCTTTTGCTCTATTGTTCAGTATTCACTAAGCATTCTATAATTTCGCTTTTGTGGCTGATTTGTTTACCTTTGTTTACAAAACTTCGGATTAGTATTACAGAGTCCAGTATTCCTATTCTTTAGTTACTCATACTGGACTCTAGGTACTGTACACATTTTGTACTCTCTGATAATAAAGTTACTCATACTGGACTCTAGTTTTGTCCCTGTTAGCTCTCAGCAAGTGGCTAGACACTTCCCAAAAGTTCTCAATTGAACACTGGGGAGCCAAAGAACAAGAAGCTTTTGATAAGCTTAAACAGGCATTCACAACAGTGCCCATGTTAGCATTTCCAGAATTAGACAAAGAGTTTTGGCTAGAAACCAACTCTTCTGATATTGCTACTGGAGCTGTTCTATCAATTAAATGCCCTGATTTATTGCATAGTTTGTTGTCTACAGAGCGCAACTATCAAATTTACAATAAGGAGATGCTGGCCATCATTACAGCTCTAGAGCACTGGCGGCACTATTTAGAAGGTGCTAGGCACCAATTTAAAATCTGGAGTATTTTATGACGGCCCAAGACTTGAACCGAAGACAGGCCTGCTATGTGGTATACTTGTCTAGGTTTAATTATAAATTAATTCATAAGCCGGGAACTTCTATGGGGAAAGCGGACACTTTATCTAGAAGAGAGGATCATGCCTATGGCATCAAAGATGACAACAAAGGTGTCACCCTGATAGATCAATCCAGGGTTGCCAATTTTCAAATCAGGCAAGACTCCGATCTTCTAGAAGTCTTCAAGAAAGACATTTCCTCAGAAGAGAAGGCGCACCTTGATGGAAATTCACATTATTTATGGGAAGACGGGCTCTTCCATTACAAAGACAAAATCTATGTGCCTGAGTCCACAAGGATCAAGGCAATAGATAGACATCACAACACTCCAGTGGCTGGGCACCCTGAGTGGCAACAAACAATGGAGTTGATCTCCAGAAACTACATGTGGCCTGGCATGATCAAAGATGTACAGGAATACGTAAAATCCAGTCTAAGATATGCCAAATCTGATACCGGCTGGTCCCTGGCAGGATATATCGGTTGAATTCACAACAGATCTACCTGAATCAAATGGGTATAATTCAGTAATGGTGGTAGTAGATTGCTTCTCCAAAGAAGTGGTATTCATTCCCACCAACAAAACTATTACCGCCGCTGGTATGGCAGATCTATTTAAAGATTTTGTATGGTCTATCCATGGGTTACCAAAAACGGTTATCTCCAATAGGTGACCACAATTTGCTGGCAAATTTACGAAAAAAACTTTGCCAGATGCTGGGTATCAAACCTAAATTATCCACAGTGTTCTATCTGCAGACTGATGGACAAACAGAGAGGCTCAAAAATTGAAGCAATACCTTTGTATATTTATTAATCACAGGCAGATAGATTGGGCCAAGTGGCTAAAAATAGCCCAGGTCTCATATAATATCAAACAGTTGTCGGCTACAGGAAAAGCACCATTCAAGGTTACAAGATTGTACCTTCCCAGAATGGGTGTGGAACCTGGCAAAAGCAAAAATGAGGCTGCAGGGAACATGGCTAAAGACATGAAGTTTGTCATAGACAAAATGTGCAAGGCGCTATTCAAAACTGCAGAGCAGATAAAACACAAGGCAGAGCATAGACACTCTAAGGCCCCTGATTACAAGGTCGGCAACCTGGTCTGGTTAGACACCAACCACTTAAAATTAAAAGATCGGTAGTCTAGAAAACTGACCAAAAAGTGGATTGGCCCTTACTGGATTAAGGAAGTCAAACCCAACACAGTGGAGCTGGAACTCCCAAAACAAATGAGGGTAGTACCCACGGTCAATATTAGCTGTGTGAAACCCTACAAAGGGCTGCTGCCGCGACAGTATGTGGACTGGCCTGAACTGGTTGTAGTCACCCAGGAAGGTGAAGAAGAATTT